AAAATAAAAAGTTAACATTTCAAATGGCTTAACATTACAAAATTTATTGAAGAAAGTCCATAATTTGTTCAATGATAATGTCTATGTGTTGAGAAATATCGACAGAAACCACATCTTTTTCCTCTTCAGGTGATTCAAGTGTAATGAATTGCGAGTTGAGCATATCTGGTTTCATAAAATGATTTTGCCTTTGACTGATTCGAGAAAAAATCATATCAAATGAACCTTTGGCGTAAATAAATACGACTCTATCTACACCGGCAGTTTGTCGAAGAAAATCGCGATAGGACTTTTTTAATGCAGAACAGGTGATTACTAAATACGAACAATGACGATTTTTGTCAGTACGAAATTCATTTGCTAAAGAACGACATTTGTCACGAATCAAAGAAAGCCATGGCCAACGGTCATCATCATTAAGTGGAATTCCTTTAAAATACTTGTCAGTTAATTTATGCATAATATTTACTATTTAGTTTGTACTTGCCGTTGGACATTTTGTCAACGTTTACTTTTGGATGAAAAGTATCACCTTCAAGAAAGGGAGCAGAAAGTTTGTTTGCTAACGATTCGCCAATTGTCGTTTTGCCACAACCTGAAACTCCCATTGTGACACAGAGAGTTACGATGTGAGAATTAGTGTTTGTTGAAGTTTCCATTGCACTTTTAAAAATGAAGTTGATATGTTTAATTTTCAAAATGAAGTTATTTTTAAATGACTTTCATTATAAAAGAAAGTTGCGGTGAGCATCTGCTCGAAGCATGATTGATTACTATGTACTCGAAGATAAGCTTATTGAAATATAAAAGTGCAGTTTAATTACTTTTTGTTGATATTTTATGATTTGTATTGAAAAATTCAGATGGCGAAATTTTTCATTTTTTTTGTATTCGTTTATCAATTTTAAATAAAATTATTTTTTCATTATGTAAAAAATTATAATTGGAAACATAAATTTTATGTAATTGCCAAAAAATCATACTTTGTAAGAGTTTTACACTTAGGACTTTCTTCAATCGGTGATTGATAATAAAACATATTAGGAGCAGGTTCTTCGTTTATGTCACAAAAAACAAAATTTTTTTCTTTTAGAGAAATTCTACCAGCTATAACGCCCTCAGGATTATCTTTTTGTGTGCGACCAATATAATAGTTATCCCCATTTTTACTTTTTCCACCAAACACTGCTTTTTCTGGATTTAGATTTCCATCTTTATCTTCAGTCCATTGAATTTTTAATTTTTTTGGATTTGTAAGCACTTGGTAACGGGACAAGTAGGCAAAATTTTCGTTTTCTTTTTTGACATAACAAACTCCAGTTTTGCTCGATACCTTAAATAAAATTTAAAAAGGAAAATAAGTTTAAGATATAAAATTAGTTTTAACAACAAACTGTTCCAGGGTAGAGAGCGCCTTCGTCGTTTTCATTTGGGTCCACAACCCTGCATACATAAGATTCTGCCCTTTTTACTGTTCCAACTAATAGCTTATCGGCAACTTTACCAAGTGTCTTGTAATCTGCGTTTACCCAAATAAAGCCACTTGATTCATGCAGCATTGACTCGCTTAGCTGCTGAAAACCATTGGGTGGAACTACTGAGAGCACTTCGTACACTGGCGATTGAGGTACCATCCATTTTGTATCGGTTATGTAGGCGTTGGTGTAGGTGTACTGAATACGGAATGCAAAAAGAGCTGCTTTATATGGTTTGTACATCTCTCCAGGTTGAATCTGTCTTCCCCATCCGTCTGAACTGTTCCGGCTAACGTAGGAGATTTCATCAGGGTCAATAAACCGAGCTGCTTCTACTGCATTGGGCGGAAGGTCTCCGTCTTTATGGTGAGACCACTTAAGATATCTTCCTTTTGGATTGGTTAAAACCTGGAAGTAACCGGTAAGAAGGAGAGCCCATTTGACTCCTCGAATTGTGCAGATTTGCTCGATAAGTGAAAGTCGTCCTGGAAAACTCCATCCGTTGCCTAAAACGCCGTCTCCTACTCTGCAAATGTAAAGTGGTTCGCCATTCAGTTCGTAGCCACCAGGAATTTTATGCTCAATGTAAGATAAATTTTTCCAATTCGAATATACCCATTCAAGGCCATTGGCTTCTAAACTGTATGGACTAGAAGTCGAAAAAGAAAAGGAGGCAGAAGTAAAGAAGACGACAGTAATCAGATGTAAAGAAAGCATTGTCTGCGTGCTTTAAAAAGACATGTTAGTTATAAAATGTTGATGATAATTAACTTACTTTGAAAAGTGGGCACGTTGCCTGCTAAATAAAATAAAATAAAAATTATTTTTTATTTTATACGAGATTTTATATTAAATTTAAATTACATTAAAACATCGTCAACAATTGGGTTACGGATCAAATTGACGGCATCACGATTTTCTAAAACATTATAGACTCGGCTCAATTATGAAATATTCAAACGGTATTTGAGTTTTAATTTATTTAAAAAATAAACTAACCGATGGCTGAAATGAACATAAACTAATTGGCAATCAGTTTAAAAAACTTAAATACTGCTTCCTAAATGATCTTTGAATTGTCGTCGAATGTTATTTCAACAAAAATCAATTTAAATACTCAAATGTCAAAATGTGAGTTGCGCTCATGAATAACAGATTTAAGATAAAAGTACTTGTTCAGGCAACACAAAAGTGAATTTCATAGTTAAAAAATAATTTTTATTAAGCAAAAAGCCAATCTGATCAAAGTAAGTAGTGTCCTGTTAAAGTAAAATTTAATTTACCTTAGATATTTTATAGCGTTTCCAGCAATAACAATGGANAACACAAAAGTGAATTTCATAGTTAAAAAATAATTTTTATTAAGCAAAAAACCAATCTGATCAAAGTAAGTAGTGTCCTGTTAAAGTAAAATTTAATTTACCTTAGATATTTTATAGCTTTTCCAGCAATAACAATGGTGGGCACTTGTCGGCGTTCTTTTCTTTTTTTCAGTGCCGTCACCCTCTACGTGATAAGCATTGTGAACTGCCATAAACGCCTGCAAAGCCCGGGCACACATGGTTTGGAGTGGGTGGACGCTAGTTGGTCGAATGTCAGCTCGGTGTGCGACCTGGTGGAGGGCGGATATGAGTCCAGTGGGAAGCCAGTGTACGTGTGCAGAGCGAGCGATGCGGCCTTCGGCCAGGGCGTCACCGTCAGCGGGTGGCTGTCAGTGGAAAGGGCGGTCTGTTTTGTGGTGTACCAGGGCACTGCCTACGCCCTCTCTGGCTACTACCAAGTGCTGACCAACCCGAGGAGGCGCTTCCTTCGCTGGCTCGGCATTGACGAGGGCGACTGGACGGCGAATCAGCTGCAGGACTACCTCAAGGTGGCCGTCTCTGCGGCCTATCTGCGCGACGAGGAGACCTACATCTACGTGGGTCGATTCAAGGACGAACAGCTAGGCATCCACCCGGGTTATGTCTACAACAGCAACAAAAAGTTTCTCTACATTGAGGACAGCAAGTTTACCGCAGCCAAACAGTGGAAAAACAGGCGAGAGGACACTCCGGTGAAGACGGTTTACAAATATGAACTACTCGTGGCGGAGGCGCCTGATCAGTTTCAGCTGATCAACAGGGATCTGCTGACGAACTCAAATGGTCTCACCTGGGAAGAGACCAATTACACTGCTCTGACTACAGTCAAAAGTAAAATAGAAGGCGGACGTCTGAANGAGGCGCCTGATCAGTTTCAGCTGATCAACAGGGATCTGCTGACGAACTCGAATGGTCTCACCTGGGAAGAAACCAACTACACTGCTCTGACTACGGTCAAAAGTAAAATAGAAGGCGGACGTCTGAACGATGGCACCAGGACGTTTTTCTGTCGGTCGTTAGACCACAATCAAAATGCCAAAGGAGCGCTGTATCCAGGATTGGTAGGAGTTTCCACTAAGGTTTTACTTTTTTATCATTAGTTTTGTCTCCTTTTCCGAACAATAGGTCTCTGAAAAAACTGGCGCCTGTTATGTGGACTTTGAAGGTCAAAACAACACCTTCGTATATCTGTCGCGCTACCAAGTGCTGACTAATGTAAACAATCGTGTGATTACATGGGAAAAACACTCAGGCGGTGATGTGGGTGATCTGAAGACTGCCGTCGTCGGTGGCCGAAACAGTGAAGGCTCTCTCTATTACATTGCACGTCGGGATCAACAGGTCGGACGATTGTCCGCCAGTGAGGGTGAATTTCAGTTTTGCGACCCTGGCGATGATCTGTACCCTGTTGTCTTCTACTACCGCCAGCATTACAAAGATCACCCGTGCCGCAGTGATGACGAGGAGTACGAGGTGATGCACTCCAGTCCGAGTAGTGACTCTCTTTCGCCGACCCCGCCACAACCCACTACTCAGAGTTCGGCGAATGGCAGTCAAACACCGATATTCAGTACTACAACATCTAATAACCAAACAAGTTCACCAGGTGACGATTACTAGGTACAGTTTCATAACGAGTCAGGAATTTAAATTTTTTAAGTTATTTTGAAATATTATAAAATTAAATGCACTTTACTACTGACGACTAAACACTTATTGAGAAGCGAACAACCCATAACGGGAATTCAATTGTCAAAGTAGTTTATCTCGCAATACATTCAAGCAATATTTCCAATGATCTGCTAAATGATTCGTTCTCTTGTGCCATAGTTTTGGCATTGGTCACAAGTCAATAGTTAAGAAATCTGTTTCTGTATATCGTTTTCAGGTTATGTGAACTGTGACAATGTATCATTTTGATACAGAGTCAGCCAGTATCGATTTGATAATAAACAATAATTAAAACGGATATCCAGCCGCTCTGACAACGTTATAGTAACCCATTTAACTAAATTATTAATCGGTTCAAATTTAGTCCACAAACAAACGAGCATTGCACTGCTTTGGAAACCCCTTGCAATAGTCAAATTGAGGTTTGTATAAAAAGGTTATTTGCAAATTCAGTTTTAATTTCGGTTTACATTATTTTATTATTTTATAAACAATGAACCAATTGTTGCTACTTTTCTTCATTGCCATTTGTACCCTTTCAAATGGGCAAAACAATGAAACCTCAAGTCTCTTTTCTAGCAAACAAATTGAAGTTTCATTTGGCAATTTTAAAGTAAACCTTTTTTCACACCTGGTATAAACTTCAAGCCGTTATCATTTGTTTTCTTACTAGACCATCTTCCGCCGACTGTACCGGTCGCTTACCACCGAGACTGATCGTTTGCGAATTTTCGGTGAAAATCTAGAGTACATCGAGAGCTTCAACTCTAGGCGAGATGCATTTCGCACGTACACACTTGGAGTGAACAACTTCACCGATCTCTCGCAGGATGAGTTTCACCGCCTGTACAATGGTTTCATTCAGCGAACGCAAGATCCGTCCTCTGCTGCTGAGGAGCGCAGAGCTGGGAGGACACTTGAGGTAAACGTCACCGAGGAGATGCTTCGCCAGCGACTGCCACGAACTGTGGACTGGTCACAGCGAGGTGTGCTTACGCCTGTGAAACAGCAAGGTCAGTGTGGGGTAAGTTGATTCAAGGTGGGAAAACCATTTACCCAAACATTAAACAAACTTTATAACTTATTGCCAAGTCTTGCTGGAGCTTTGCCGCCGTGGCAGCTATTGAAAGTCAGGTGGCCATTCACACTGGCCAGCTGGTCAGTCTGTCGGAGCAGAACCTACTCGACTGTGCCGTCTACGGCAACAATGGCTGCGCCGGTGGGCTGATGAACAATGCCTACGAGGTTAGACTTAGAGGGGTTTAGGCCTGTCAATGATCCTCCTTTACCACTTCACTAGTATGTCATTCAAAACGGTGGCATCGACACGGCAGATTCATACCCGTATCTTGGTGCTCAACGGTAATTTTTGCAATTTTTATCGGTTTGTAAATTTCAGTTCCTAACGCTTCATCTCAGCTACTGTCGCTTCAACACGTTCTCGGTCGGCGCTCAAATCTCCTCGTACGTGAACCTGCAGCGAGGTAGTGAGGCAGAGCTGATGTACGCTCTGGCCCACAGCGGCCCTGTTTCCGTGGGCATGGACGCCAGCAGACAGTCGCTGCAGTTCTACTCATCCGGCGTGTACGATGATCCCTCCTGCAGTTCGTACAATCTCAACCATGGAGTGGTCGTGGTGAGTCAAAGAAAGTGCTTCTGCTTCATTCACTAGTTAGAAAATGCGCATCAATTTGGGTTGTAGGTTGGCTACGGCACCACCACTGACGGGGTGGACTACTTCAAGGTGAAGAACTCTTGGGGGCAATGTAAGTGATTGGGTAATTGATGAGCAGTTGAATTCCTTTATTGTTTTACTTTTTCCGGTAAATTTCAGCCTGGGGGATGGGTGGATACTTTCTCATTCGCAGAAATGCCGGAAATCGATGCGGCATCGCTACTCAGGCTAGCTATCCTGTCTTGTAATGTTCGTTTTTTCAATAAGACTAAATAAAATTGTATCAATTAAAACAATGTGGACTACGCACTATCTATGTGGTACTTGATGACATTGCTGCGAGTTTTTGTGTCCAGTTGTGCTGGCTCAGCAATGACCAGCTCCAGTTCGAGTACTTTTAATAGTCGTCGATCGATTACATTTGCAGTAATGCCGATCTCTTGAAGGCACTTTTTCAGAGACAAGTAGGCCAAAACTTGATCGACCATCGTCTGATAAGGTAGTTGTTTATTCTTCTTTGCTACGTGCACAATGGCTGCGTCAATGGTCAGCTGATATTGGCGTTCAATTTCCGTTTCAGTAAGCCTTTTTGACACTTCTGAACTGGTTAGAAAAATTCAAAGTGTTATCAACAGAAATTGTGAGTAAATTAAACTTACGTGTCGCGCACAGAGGAAAATCTTGCAGCACTGTTTAGCACTTCAAGACTGCTGCCCACGTTCAGCGAAGTGACATTACAGACTGAATCAGCAGCAACGGTTATCTCTTGAGGATCACAGAAAACCAGCTGATCATCATCGCTACAAGAGAATCCTTTAAACTGTTGTCTTTTCTCTTGTCTACCATTGGCGGCAGGTGCAAACTTCAAAACGCCAAAGTGTAGCAGCAGCTTGAGCGCCCGATTCAGTTCAGGTTGACTGAGAATGTTCTTGAAAGCTTGCCGAAGGTGGCTATAAGTGGAAGAGGGTGACGAGCTCTTCTCAGCGTTTGTCAGCCACTGAAGGATCATCACTTGCGGGGCAGTGACGAGAATGTTCGTTCCTTCGTTATCGGCAGTCACGAGCTCAATCACCGCCCAGTTGTGCTTGATGCAAAAGCACTGAATCACCTTCTTCTTCTTCAGTCCTTCTTTGGAGTAGAAAGTCTTGAAGCTGTTCAGTGCCTGAAGAACCTCTTCAGGAAGGTATGGTGAAACGCGTGAAAGGCAGTCTTTCAGGCACTCCTTTGGCAGGACAATCCCTTCCCAGATGAGAGGCGTGAGAATGTTCACATTGAGGCTCAAGTGCTTTGGCACTTTACTTTCCCCAGCTGAGTACTGGTGCACGTACTCACAACTGTTAACCTGTACGTCGCGCAGCATCTGCTCAAGGTGGGCAGCGTACACGGTCATCTGCTTACCATACTCAATTGCCAGTTGATCAGCAACAAAGCGTTCTTTGCTCAAGTAGAGACTGTTCGGTGAGAGGAGTCGCTTGCCGAGAAAGGCGGCGTACTGCTGCTCAAATGTGCCTCTACTTCTGTCGTTGAGGTAGCCAATAAGGCGGATGCTGTTGTCTGCAAAAAAGAAGCTGAGCATCAGTCAATGAAATAACATCATTTAAAAATTTACCTAACCAAGTGCAGTCTAGAGGTTCAGAGCTGTGAACTGAACTGAGATTGAAGTGCATGAAACCGGCGAGACACTTGGCAAAGCTAGTGCAGCAGTAATCTCCCGCTTTGCGCTGTTGATCATTAAGATGTCGACACATCTGCGCTCGGATCAGCTCACTGCAGACTGGACTGTGGTAAAGGTAGTCCTCCAGAAGTCTGCGAAGAAGTCGTTCATAGCAGGCCAGATACTGAACTGTGTTTAGGTGGGCACTCATTTTGGTTGATTCATGTGTTGCACTTTTGTTTTGACTCTTTTTACTGTTCCGCGTCGTAGTCTCCTGCTGCAGTAGTCGACTAAACCGAGCGTCAGTTTCTGCAAACAATCTTGACATGCTCTGCTGAGAGGAGTTGATGCTGTAGAAGAGGCGGATTATCGTGAAACAGTTGTGGATGGTAGATTGTTTGCCACTGTTGTGCGATTTGGTCTTTGTTTGTAAGTTCACATGTTGCTGCACAAACACTTCGCTAATATACTTTAGCAAAATGGAAATCTTCTTCTCAGGAAGAGCCACATCGTAGAACACCCTTTGAGCCTGTTCCTGTATGGCATCTCTTCGGCTCAGCAACAATATTTCCTCTTCTGCTTTCAACGGTAGAATTGGGCCACAATACTTGTACGGTTGCTTTGGAAGTCTCTGCACAAAAACCACGTAAAGTTCGGGCTTGATGGTAGTGCTCCACAAAGTGATTAGAGATTCAAGATAAGTTTTCCAGTTAATGGTTTTGTTCTTGCAACAGGTGAGTAGTAGCTGGGCAGATCTCTTTTTGGCAAAGATCTGAAGAGAGTCAATCAATGGCCGACTGAAAAGGGCGTCAAATAATACCGATAACTTGTTGTTAGCTTTACCGTGGTGAAAAGACAAAGATTGAAGATCAAGGACTAGCATGTACTGCGCTAGCTTGCTCATTAATTCAGCCAGAGTGGTGCTTTTCTTCTTTTTACAAAAAGATTCTTCAAACATGTGTACCAGCTCGTTTCGAATGACTTTTCCCAAAAGTTCGGCCTGTTCAACTAACACTTTTGATAAGAGACAGAAAGCCGTTTTGTTGATAGAGAGATCCACTGAAACTGAGGTTGATTTTTGGTCATCTTCTTCAACCGCCGCCCAGTGAACACGTCGCTGAAGACGACAGCAGACGCCGTCCAGACGCTGAACGCCGACAACAAAGTGCTCTACAGCCAACTCGAGAAGATGCTTTATGGTGGCAACAGCAGAAACTTTATCAGAAAAACACTTTTCGTAAACCTTAATTTGATGACAAATTGCCTGCAAACAGTCACGTTCAGAAGTAGTTCCAGTGTTTTGGCTGATGCTCTTGTTCAACTCTTCGTAGTACTTATTCACTGGAAATGGCTGCTGTGGGTCAGAGGAGAAGGCGGTGTTGACGAGTTTTTCTAGCGAAAAGGTTTCCATGATTTGATTATCAAAGTTTTGTTGTTTTGTAGAGCTGTAAAAAATTATATTGCGTCAACAAATAGAATTATGTTAATTTGTTTTTAGTTTTTAAAAATTAAAATCTTGCGCGCGCTTTCGACTACAGAATAGGCTATTTGCACCCATGTAGCACAAAAAGGTGCAAAAATCCTCGTGTTTTGAAAAAACAAAATCACAACAATTTTTATCTTTCTCGTATCGGCCAAATCTGCTTTCCTTCTTTCAAGTTGTCTGTCATCTTTGTGCGCTAAAAATGCTTTCTCCGAGTGCTTTTAACAGGTCTGATGAAGAGTATGTTCATTGCCCTAAAACTCTTGTTCGGGATCTAAATGATCACATCACATGCCTTCTTTGTTATGGCTACCTCGTTGATGCAACCGTTCTCAGTGAATGTTATCACTGTTGTAAGTTTGTTTTAACTTGGTTTTATATTATTAATTTAATTCGCTTTCATGCATAGTTTGTCGTAGCTGTATTTTGCAGCATCTTATCAAAAATCCCAACTGCCCGGTGCCTGGCTGCAACAAGGTAACACTTCACAGCACCGATCCATTCAAAACCCTGAGAAGTGATCGACAGTTGCAAGAGTTGATCAACAAAGTTGTGCCTAATTTGCTTGCAGGTATGTAGCTGTTGAGCTAAACACTAAGTTCAAGTAAATAAACAAGTTTTATTTTAGATGAACAAGAAAGAAGGAATTACTTCTACCGATCTCAAGGCCTGCTTAATCCTGAAGATTTGGGTGAAGACAATCAGTCTGAGGAGACTACAAATATACAGCCGTCAAATGTTAAAGCGTCTGCTTTACGTAGAGAATTTATTGATAAAGTGTGTATTGAGTTAATACCACTAAACGATAAAACTACTCCGGTCAGCGCTAGATTTGTTCGTTGTCCATCGGTGGCTACTATCTTTCAGCTCCAAAAACTTGTAAAATTAATGCTTAATGATCAGAGTATAAAGGTATGTTTAAACATTTTTTTCTAACCAGTTTCGATCGATCAGTAATAATAATTTTTGTAAAAAAGGTTGATATTTTCTACAAAAATGAAATTCTTGGCAGGCATCACACATTGAAGTTTATAGTTCTTACTCGTTTTACTCGTATCAAGGTAAACAAATAATGTTTTTATTTGCTTAAATTAAATTGTTTTTATATTCTATTTAGAAAGAGCGTCTTCCGCTGCATTATCAAATTTACAATCATTCTGTTGCGGCTAAACATGCAGATGATGCAGAGTCTTCATTTCTTCCAGAAGATGACGATAACATGGATGTTTCGAAATGAGTGCCCTTATGCAACTCTATAAAATTTTTCGCATGCGATTTGTAATTTTAAAATCTCATTTTTAAGATAAAAACATTTTGAAATTCATCGGCAATGTTAGACTCAAATAAACTTGCATCGATAATCATAAAAAGTATTAATTTGGCTCTTTTAGAATCGGTTCAATTGTTTNCTTCCAGAAGATGACGATAACATGGATGTTTCGAAATGAGTGCCCTTATGACACTCTATAAAATTTTTCGCATGCGATTTGTAATTTTAAAATCTCATTTTTAAGATCAAAACATTTTGAAATTCATCGGCAATGTTAGACTCAAATAAACTTGCATCGATAATCATATAAAGTATTAATTTGGCTCTTTTAGAATCGGTTCAATTGTTCATAGACTGGTAGGAAATTCTTTGAAATGCGTTTAATTTTTTTTACTTTGAAGCTCTATTTATTAAAACTGTTTAAAAATAAGTATTTTTTATTGGCAACCTTAAAAAGGTTACGAAAGTTTAGAAACTATTGATTATTTCAAAAATTACTTTTTACTCATTTTGAGCAAATATTCAACAGAACCCAAACGGAAGAAAAAAATTGTAAAATTCTTAACAATTTGCTGAATATGTTGACAAAGAAAACGAACGGGACAACAGTGTTTGCAAATTTCTTCATTCTTAAAATAAATGTTACTTTTTAATAAAAAAAATTAGTTTTTCACATTTTATACAAGGTAATTTGCATATTTATATTTAACAAATGCCATTTTTTAATTGCTTTGTTTTTTAAAGCTGTTTTAAAAATGAACCCCATTGTTTGCTCTTGAAGGTTGTTCACCGCTTCACTTGACTATAAAAAGATCTTTTATTAAAAAAGATTGTAGCACTCTGCCAAAAGTGATAAAAAATGTTTCGATTTTCGAGCAGAAAACTGTTTTACAACACCCTGGAGGACGTGATGACCAATCACGAGAAGAGGTCCTACCGATGGCTTCACACATTTGAGTGCTGTGCCTACGCAGTGTACATCTGTCGCTTTGCCTACATTCTCCTGTGCCTGCTTCAGCCCACTAAATGCTCTCTCATTGAAATTGACTTTTTCTCCCACTTGATAGAGAATCTGTCCACCGATAAGGACTACTTCTTTGCCGTCACCTTCGTAATGATGTTCGTTTCCTGTGTAGTCATGGAGCGGGCCATCTACTTCTCGCGCATTGACACCTGCACATGGGGCATCATTGAGGATCAGATTATTCACAGTGAGCAGATATTCAAGCAGTGTCTGCTTCCTGAGGACGAGCGGAAGACCATTTGGAAGATGCAGTTGGGGGAGATTAAACGAGAAACAAAGTTGTATTTTATTCCTGAGTTGATGGTAAACTGGTTTTGCAAAATATGGGCCCAAATTATCTTTTGGAAGCAGTGTGATGCCTATGATCTGGCAATGATGAAGTCATACAAATGGAAGTACACTCCAGGGGCGACTATTGAGTTGCGCGCCAAAATGTACCGAGTTTTAGCATTTCTGGAGATGGCCAACTGTCTGGTGATTGTCTCTGTCTGTAAGTGGTAAATCTATCTTTGTATTTCTTTGAAAAATTGAGTAAATGTTGTTTCCTCCTTTGTAGATGTGATTTTCTTTTTTCTTCTAGCGTATTTTTACCAATTGTTTCTCAGGGAGGGTAAACTAAGCACTCAATCATCGCCATTTGTAGTCATCGATTTGGCACTATTCTACTACCTTGGAATGCGTACGCTAAAGATGTTTCTCTGGCTGTCGACACTGTCCACCTTCTCCGGTTTATTCTTTAATGATCATTTCACAAGCATAAATGCACGACTTTTTGAGGCGGTGAGGCTACGTAAGCAAATGGCAATGTCGTACAGTACTTTTTGCGACCGGCTAGTGAGCTACCTTGAGGAGAACACGATTATCTGTATGGAGGAGCAAGACACAAACACTGAACTGTGGGGAAGGTAACAAAGTGACCATTCTAATTGAGGGTTGGCAAACTGAATGCAAAGCATTTCGTTGAACTAGCTGTGTAGGGTGGATCTGCGTTTGCCAGTTCCCCGGCAGCATATACGTTGTGTACCGCATTCTGGACAATCAACTGGAGGGCAGCAAGTGGCTCTTCACCTGTCTCCTCATGAGCATCGAGCTGGCCATCATCGTCACCAGTCTGCTTCCGCTGGCCAAGTACGCCAAGACCACTCTACTCACACATACCTGTCTGCCTGCCGCTCAACAGCTGATTCAAGCTGATAGGCTCAATCTGAAGCTAAAGTACATGTGCCTCTATGAACGACTCAACAGTGAAATTATGTTTGGCGTCACCATTGGTTTCTACAACTCGATTAGCTACAAAACCATTTTTGAGGTTACTATTGTTGCTGCATTTTTCTACTGTTTTATAATTTACAAAAATTTCTCTAGGTGTTTTTAATGTACTTCGCGTATACATTCTTTTTCTTTGATTTGTTCAAATAAAGAAAACTGAACAACTGCGTTTTCTAAGAAACCTTGAAGGTTGAAGCCTTTTCCTGTGTTCTTTAATAAAAATTACTTTGAATTATTTCTGTCTTTTGTTCTATTTTAAAACACGTTTAAAAATCAATATCAAGTTTCCATATAATAATGCAAAAAACATTTTAATCAAAACTTTTTATATTATTTTAACATGAAAGTCAATATTGATAAAGGAAAACCCATCACAATAATCTCAATTGCTTATTGCAATAGTTTATCATTTTAGAAAGATGTTGGGATTTAAACCAGCTGCTTTAAAAGTATAAATTGAGCTGATTTTAATAAGTAATTAGTTTGCGTTCTAACATTTGTTTATGATATTTAAAAATGTTTTGTAAATTGGCGTTTTTTGTTGTTGTAGCTGTTCTTCTTTCTGAAGGCAAAGCTGCGCTTTCAGAGTTTGAGCTTGAGGTTCAGTTTGAAAAGTTTAAGGTATGCTCAACAAAAACGTGAAATGATTCTAAACTCTTTTTACTTTAAAAGATTGATTTCTCTCGCATCTACTCAAGTACTGCAGAAGAAGCCAGTCGCAAGGAAATTTTTCGCACAAACGTAAACTACATTTATGCCCACAACCTTGACGCCTTCTCTGGTCGCAGTACTTTCACACTCGCAGTGAACAACTTCACTGACCTTACAAACGCTGAGTTTCGCCAACTGCTTCGGCTGCAAACTGGAACGTCACGTGTTTCACTTGGCCGATTGCACACAAACCAATCAAAAAGCGGACTACCGACCAGCATCGATTGGGTATTGTAGAGAGGGCAGGGAGAGCGAAAACTGATAGACAATTTTATTCAACTGAAAGTAGAGAATAACTAATTCACTACAGTGATACATACAATACTTGCAAAGTTTCAAAATCACAGAGACTCTTAAACTTAACAGGTTTCAAGAAATGCAGTGACCGCCCCAATCAACCAAGGCCAGTGCGGCTCGTCGTGGGCCATTCCAGTGGTCAGTGCCGTAGAGGGTCAGGCGGCCATCAAGACGGGCAAGTTAGTGGCACTGTCCATTCAGCAGATGATTGACTGCTGCAGTGGGGACGACCAGGGCTGCAATGGCGGCTCAGAGGACGCAGGATATCAGGTTGGTGTAGGGACATCAGCGGTGTTAGCAATAAACTCCTCTCCCCTTTTCATGTTAGTGCATCATCAACCAGGGCGGCCTGGACACTGCCGCCGCCTACCCGTACAGTGGAGACCAGGACAGCTGTCACTTTCGAAGCAAGTACGTTGGCGCCCGAATCGTCGGCTGGACTGACCTGGCCCCCAACAGTGAGGCGGCGCTGGAGAACGCCGTGGGCACTGTTGGTCCGGTGGCGGGCGCCGTGGACGCCAGTCAGTCGTCCTTTCAGTTTTACAGCAGTGGCGTCTACGTGGAGCCCGCCTGCTCTCAGAACGTCGACCACGGAGTGAGTGTCGTCGGCTACGGTGCTCTGGGCGGACAGCAGTACTGGAAGCTGAAGAACAGCTGGGGCCAGGCCTGGGGCATGGGCGGATACATGCTGATAGGGAGAAATATGGGCAACATTTGTGGCGTCGCCTCTGCGAACAGCTACCCGCTGATGTAATAAGTGCTCCTTCAATTTACAATAAATGGAAATAATTTTTATTTACATCAGTATTAAGCTGTACATGAAATGAACTGTTTGATAAGATTTTCCTGGTTATCATCTCAAGTGTTGTGCCAAAAGCTGTTTACCAAGCTGGCTTATCACTTCCAGAAGTTGATAACGCTTACAAAAGTGCTGTTGGCTTAGCCGTGACTTCTAGCATGTTTCACAAAAGTAAAGACGTACATAACAAAGGCGCTGTAAGCGTAGCAAAACTGCAAACGTGTAAAAACAACAATAAGTTCAAATGAAACACATTTTCACCTTTTCAAATCTGCACAAACCTGGTAGGCAGTTCGACTGGTAATTCGGGCCACTGAGCCAATGGTGAAAGTGAACTTTCTCTTGCGGTGCAGTCCCTCGTAGAAGGTCATCGTCTTGAGGCGGTAGCGAAGCAGCCCGGTGGAGCCGTTCACCTCTGCACAGCTGGCAATGCTCAGCGCCTTGAGAATGAGCGGCGCCGAGGAGTAGAGACTCTTGGCGAAGAGAATGCACAGCAGTGATGAGCTGCCAATGATGACCAGCTGAAAGGAGAGGATGATGAAGAAGAAGACCAGCTCACGGGTGGAGAGGCTGATGGTGAAGAGCAGCGCTACCAGCATCACGTTGATCAGCAGGTTGCCGAGAAAGGCGACAAACATGATCGGAGAGATGAGAATGCGATTGGCGAGCAGAGCGAAATGCATCAATTTGAAGTGGTGCAGCTGGTAGATGCTGAGCGAAGTGAACATGGTCATGCGGGGCCGCTTGAAAACGCACTTGAAAAGCATCTCCTGAGCGAGCAGAATGCTCAAAGATCGCTTCAGTGCCTTCACCTGAATCGCGGTGGCGGAGAAGACGACAAAGAGGAGCTGATAGGCAAAGAGACTG